TGTGATCCTTACCTAGGGGCACCAAGGAGGTCAGATCCAATTGCCTCCATCCACGTGTGTCACAAGTTCCCCGGGCTCAGCTGAGGGTTAATTCCCACCACGGACCTCACTGAAGGGCAAAGAAGGGGGAAGTGCGATTTGAACTGAGCAAAGGAGCAGCAAACACCTGGCGGGGCAAGACTGGGTACATCCAGTCTGGAAATAGCCGCACGCTTTGCACAGGACCCCTGAAGTTCACAAGGGTCAGCCTGAATGGGATTTAACCTTCAGAGAGTTTTTAACTCCAAACAAGTCACTGGCACAGGGCAGGAGGGCTCAGGGCAGATCCCATGTTACACCTGAGCCTGGGCCGTGAAGCTTGACCCTTTCCATCTAATGGTGCCGCTCCGTGCGCAGCGGTGCCAGCGCAGCCCACATTAGCTGAGACCTCTTTGCACCTCCTGATGGTGTCCAGGGCCAGCATTCACCAAGCAGGTCCTTCCAGCGCTTGCAGAGTGCAAGTTTTAATCAAAAATTTGGCTTTTACCATATTTGATATCACCCTGGTATTCTTAATTTAGCAGCACAATGCAGTAATATACTGAAATCACTAACAAGCCCCGGAAATGGTTCCTAAAACTAAAAAAATGACTCTTTTTTAAGCAACAACCTTCAGTCCCCAGGGTCTATGACTTGGATACTGAGCTGTCTGTATCCTGCGCATCGGAGTGGGGGCTATTGGGGTTTGGAGATGCCCCTTGCTAAGAAGTCCCAATTTCACTGGTCCCAGAGTACCCAAGGCTGTCAGGCAGGAGAGGGGCAGGTGGAGGATGTCATGTGGCACCTCGGTCTTGGGAGCCTGATCCAATTGTTGGAAAGTGAACACAGAGAGCAAAAAGCTGGCGATAGAACCAATATAAACACAAGTGAATGGAACCCGTATGGCCTCAGCTCCCTCAGAGCACGACAACTGGGCAAGGAGGAGTCACCCTAGAGGAAGGTCCCCTCTCCAGCAGGACCCAGCTGGGCTCCAAGATCCCCACCAGCCTCTCCAGAGAGGTTTATTTGCTCTAATGCTGCCATCCAGTGGGAGAAACATCCTGGTGTGGAAAAGGAGGCCCTTGGGGTCCCAGTGGAGCTCCGGCCTTCTCCAGCGAGGAAGAGCTGGGTGAGCAGCCCTGGCACAACCAGGGTCCAGACAGTCATGGTGCTTCCCAGCAGTAGGATATTTATAGCAGGAATACATGGGAAAACCCAGCATTTGAGGAAGGCACATTCCAGCCTCTTTATCAGCACTGGGGCTGAAAGGCAAACAGAATAAATAGATAGATAGATAGATAGATAGATAGATAGATAGATAGATAGATAGATAGATAGTAAACTTTCTGGGCTAGGCTGTGGGAAACAGAACGACTTTTGCCACAGTGACAAAGCAGCTGGGCAGCCAATTTTGCATCTGCAGCCACCAGAAACCCCACAGAGGCCACAAAGCACCCATTTGTTGTCACCGTGGGTGTCTATGTTCCCGCAGAAAGGAGCTTTCAGTGGAAACAGCCAGAAGTTCAAACTCTTTTTCTTTTGTTTCTGTGGCCGCACAAGGTTTGGCTGGATGGTTCCCTGGGCACAAAGTGACATTGTTTCACCAGGAACCAGGAGCATTTGTGGCCGGCACGGCAGGCAGAAGGCACAGGAGCAGGTTCGAGTCTGCAGTTTCCAGGAATTTAGGGGGGGTTCTCCAAGATCAAGGGAGAAAACTTTCATTTTTTGTCTTCACTTTGTTCCAGTGTGAATTTTCTCCTCTGTGCAACACTACCTGGACCGTACAAATGCTCTTCTCCCAGGTCCTGCTGCCCTCCAAAACAGTAACTGCCCAGGAACGCCCCCGCGATCCTCCAGTTTGGCTGCATTTGCAGGAGCTGACAGGAGGCACTGCAAGCTTAACACGAGGCCACCTGACCTAGGGTATCTCATCTGCATCTGTCCCACTTGAAGGAAACAGCCACATGCTGGCACTGAGGCTGAGGACTGCACACAGCTCATCACATTTAAAATCCTCCTCACTCATAGGCAGAGTCTAGAAGGAACAGGGAAAACATCAGGGGTCAGAGGAAGGATTTTTTTTTTTTTAAGACATCGCTGCTCTTAAAGTCACCTGTCCTCTCTCCCCATAGCCAGCAAGGAGGGCAATGGTACCTGCAGGAGCCCCAGCAGCAGCTGAGGCACTTCCGAGTCACCCAACAAGGACTAAACCTGCACTCCATAGAGCAACACCAGCATGGGTGAAGGTCCTGCCTAGGTTGGCATTGCCCAGAGGAGTTTTCACGGCTGCGTTTTCAGCCCAGGAGCCTGGAATATCAGTGAAAATGGAAGCGCAGCACTATAATGAAGGACATCTTGGTCGTTCCCTTAGCCCTTTGACAGTGTCCCTGGGCTCTAGCCAAATGTTCCATTCTCCCCCGTGACCGATGCTCCTGGGATGCCCTTATCCACATGTGCTTCCTGCTCCCCTGTGCCCAGTGCTGCCTGTTCCTCTATTGACAGTTCTCCCGGGACCCGCATGCTCAGATGTTCCCAGTGTCCCAGTACCAGATGATCCCAGGACTCCAACACCCAGACATTCCCTGCTCCTCTGTGCCTGATGCTCCCAGCTCCCCTGTGCCCAGATGTTCCCTCCTTCCCTGTGCCTGGTGCTCCCGGGATTCCTATACCTAGATGTTCCCTGCTTCCCTATGCCCGGTGCTCCCGGGACCCCTCTAGCCAGATGTGCTCTCCCAGTGTCCCAGTACCAGATGATCCCAGGACTCCAACACCCAGACATTCCCTGCTCCTCTGTGCCTGATGCTCCCAGCTCCCCTGTGCCCAGATGTTCCCTCCTTCCCTGTGCCTGGTGCTCCCGGGATTCCTATACCTAGATGTTCCCTGCTTCCCTATGCCCGGTGCTCCCGGGACCCCTCTAGCCAGATGTGCTCCCGACTTCACCCACCCGGTGCTCCCG